CGCTTTATTACCCATTTCATACGCAAGTTTTAAAGTACAGGTTGCAAAAAATTCAGAATTGTTGTTTAAGATTTGTTTTTAAGCTCAGGAAATATGATCGAGTTTCAAGCAAAATTAATGAATCGAGTTGGTTGAAAATAGAAAATATCTATAGATTCTATAGATTTATCTTAGTTTACCGGGTATTACTATCCTCATTTCCTCCTTATTTAAGAAGAAAATTAGTCTTTAGGCGTGATTTGCATGATTTGAATATCAGGTATATTAATAAACTGTATCTTCCGAAATTTCGCTTAACAACATTTATGAAGTCTTTTACGTACAATGCGGTCACTATTTATAATGATATTGATGATGCTTTCAAAACATATTCAGTTCAGAAGTTTAAAGTTTGCGTCAAATTCTCACTTTTAAATTCTCTAACGGCTAGTTCGTATTAGATATAGTCATGTACTGATTTTGAATTGTTTGTTCTATAATTATTAATTATAAAGTTGGTAGTGTTTCTGCTAATCATCCATTCTTAATAATACTACTTTAACTTTATGTTACATCCATATTGTTCTATTTGCATATTTATGTTCCTCATATTATTTATTGTCTTAAGTTAGGGTTAAGTAGAGTAGCTGTCGCTAGACTTCGCCCTATGTTCAACCGTTTATGTATTGTATATGACAATACTTTAATAAAGGCATAATAATAATAATAATAATAATAATAATAATAATAATAATAATAATAATAATAATAATAATAATAATATTCTGCTTTTTTTGAAATAACTAAGGTTTGACAGTCAATATATGACGTTTTATACATTTTTGGAATCAGAATTGGAAACTCTATTTATCTGTGCAAAAATCTAATATGGCATCTAATGGGTGATTTTTTGCTAGTATCTTTTTGGCAACACTGTTTTTGACAGATGACGCGTGAATCGTGTCTTGTGTCATTGTCAAACTTGTTCAGTTTGGTCTATAATTTAACCATGAATCGACTTACGAACGAACAATGCTTGCAAATTATTGAATTTTACTATCAAAATTCAAGCTCGTTTAAGAGAGTGCATCGAGCACTGCTTCCAATTTTTGGGCAATTTGGTCGGCCTACTGAGGGAGCTATTCGGAAGCTTGTGACTAAATTTCGAACCCAGTTTACATTATTGGACATTAAACCACCAACACGCAGGCGTAGAGTGAGGACTGAAGAAAATATTGCGGCTCTATCCGCCAGTGTTAGTGATGACCGTGAAATGTCGATTCGTCGCCGTTCGCAGCAATTGGGTCTCTGTTACTCCACTACGTGTAAAATTTTGCGACAGGATTTGGGTGTAAAACCTTATAAGATACAGCTGGTGCAAGAATTGAAGCCACACGACCTCCCACAACGTTTCCAATTTGGTGAATGGGCGCTGGCAAAGTTGGAGGAAGATCCACATTTTTATCGAAAAATTGTGTTCAGCGACGAAGCTCCTTTCTGGTTGAATGGGTACGTTAACAAGCAAAATTGCCACATCTGGAGTGAAGACCAGCCAGAAGCATTGCAAGAGCTACCAATGCATCCCGAAAAACTCACTGTTTGGTGTGGATTATGGGCAGATGGCATCATCGGGCAGTACTTCTTCAAAGACGACAATGGCCGGAACGTAACTGTGAATGGCGAGCGCTACCGTGCGATGATAACAAAGTTTTTTTTGCCCAAAATGGAAGATCTGGACTTGGCTGACACGTGGTTTCAACAAGACGGTGCCACATGCCACACCGCACACCAAACAATGGCCCTATTGAGAGGCGAGTTCGGTGAACAGTTTATCTCACGTTTGGGGCCCGTCAATTGGCCGCCTAGATCGTGTGATTTAACGCCGTTGGATTATTTCTTGTGGGGCCACGTTAAGGCTAATGTCTACAGGGATAAACCAGTAACGATTGACGCACTGGAAGCCAACATTGAAGCATTTATTCGTGAGATACCGGCCGATATGTTGGAGAGAGTGTGCCAAAATTGGACCTTGCGCATGGGCCATCTAAAGCGGAGCCACGGCCAACATTTACATGAAATAATCTTTAAACATTAAATTATATCGACCGTTCTATCGACTCAAATAAAGGTTTAATCTTTTTTTGAAATTTTTTGTGTTTTTTTTGAAAATCAAATCCTATACCTCTTAAAAAAATCACCCGTTATAAGAAAATATAAAGTTGATGCTGTAGGACAAGACACGAAACGTCATACTGAGATTTTAGTCAATCCATCTTGTAGAGGAAAAAAGTGGCAATTTATTTTGAAATCCCATTACAAATAAAGTCAGGAAAAAATTGAAACGATTTTGGGAAAATTCGGTTTTTCCGTCTCTCAACGGAAGTTCTTCCAATTTCTAGGCCGTATTTTGTTGATTACCTAAATACGCAACTGTGCCCCCATTTAAGCGACTTCGTATCTCCTACAGTTTCCGAGATGGCGAGTGTCGAATTTGAAACACCCTGTATAGTCAGTGCTGTCGAATAAGGCAATTCGCTTAAAAAATACTTATATGACTTTTCTCAGCCATGCTGTATACAAAACAAACCAAGCATGAAAAATAATATCTCAGACACCTTGCATCTGGAGATACTGAGTATTACTTTGTAATAATGTTTTACAAAGCATACAGGGTGTCCCAACACTAGAGGGCGTAGATGAACACATTTTTTAAGATATTTTAAGAACGAATCGTTGAAATGAAATTTGATGTTTTGCTAGACATTCTATTTGACTTTTACGAAAAAGTCTAAAGTGCTCATTAGGGTGAATATTACCCCCCCCTACATAAATTATAGCAGAATCTCTTGAAGATTTATATTTTTTTTTGTTTAACAGATCTTTTTATTTACTTTATTTTTTGTCACCTATCTCGAATAGTTTTCGTGAAAAAAAAAATGAGTTGCATCAAGAGGCTCCCGGGCGTTTTATAAATACTTTAAGTGAACTTAGCGAAAATAAGCAAGTATGTTATTACTTATTACTTCTCTTCCTACCTTCTCGAACCCTTTCGTGTTTTTTTTGTAAAAGTCAAATATTGAGATATCTATCAAACATGTGTTCCAAATTTCATTCAAATATGACTATCGGTTCCAAAAATATCTCAAAAAATGTGTTTTAGAAAGAAAACTTTGTGACACTTTCCTCGAAGACTCTATATGTATATTTCCGTTCAATGGATATATTATGAAAAGTGATAAAGACAAGTTACAACGGTTACAAAATTCTTGTTGCCGTTTTTCTCTAGGTATACGGAAATTTGATTAAATAATGAACATGGAACATTTTAGAAAATACCAAAGTTTGCTTAGTAAATAAACTCAACAAATTTGAAAACATCAATAGCTTGGCTAGAAGAAATCGACAATTATTTGTCATACCTAAACACTTCACGTCTCTCTACAAAAACAGCTTATCTTGTAATGCTGCCAAGTTATACAATAATCTATCATATGAATTTCAAAATTGTACTCTGAATAATTTCAAAAAGAAGCTGTACAAATCACTCCTTCACCACTCTGTTACCCAATCTGCCTTAATAGTTTTGACATAAATTGGTGATATTCCATATCTCTTTCTACTTTTACTAAAAACATTTAAATTCGGATTTGAGCAGTTTAAAAAGGTTAGTTTCATATTAACTAATATTAGGATGTACGGTTGAGTTCAAAAATACCATTATGGTAATACTCCACCGATTCGATTCACAAAATTTGAGTGACTTATCTACGCCTATTGTTTAATGGATATACGAGGGGTACCCAAAAAAACAGGAATTATTTTTTAAATACTATTTATTTTCAACTTTTTCACAAAGTAACCTTATCTCCTTCAAAATACTGCCCACTACAACGAATACACTTGTCCCACCGGTGCTTCCACTGCTCGAAACATTTTTTGAAGTCTTCGTTAGAAATGTATGACAGCTCCTCCCTCGTTTTTTTCTTAACCTCTTCAATGTCGTTGAAGCGGCGTCCTTTCATGCTCCTTTTCGTCCATGGAAATAAGAAAAAGTCGCACGGAGCCAGGTCAGGCGAAGACTGTTTCGCAATCGTCTTAAAACCTCCAAACAGAAGGTCTGATTGACAGTGTGTACTGGGGTAACAAACTCGTAATGGACTACGCCTTTGACATCAAAAAAACAAATCAGCATTGTTTTGTTGTTTGATTTGACTTGACGACATTTTTTTGGGCGGGGTGACGATGGCGTCTTCCATTGATTTGACTGTTGCTTCGTTTCTGGGTCATAAACGTAGCACCAAGTCTTATCACTCGTGACGATCTTTGACAGAAAATTTGGATCAAATTCAAGCTGTTGTTTCAAGGCACGATACGTTTCAACTCGGTGTTCTTGCTGATTTGTCAGTCAGAGCCCGAGGAACAAACTTAGCAGCAACTCTTTTCATTCCTAAATCTTCTGATAAAATCCGCTGAACCGAACTCCAGGACAACCCAATACTTACGCATAGTTGATTGATTGTCAGTAGACAAGCACACGCTCTGGAATTTTTTCAACATTTTCGTCGATTCGGGCAGTTGATGGACGTCCAGAGCGAGGTTTGTCATCAATCGACATGATGCCATCTTTAAATCGAGAAAACCACTCGTACACCTGCGTTTTTCCCATAGCATCACCTTAGTAAGCTATTTTCAACATTAGAACAGTTTCAGCAGAATTTTCATCAAATAGAAAGCAAAATTTCATAGCTGCACGTTGCTCACTGAAGCTTGTCATCGTAAAAAAACGAAACAAGCACGAAACGGCTCTAGCAAAAATAATAACTACAGAGGAACGAACCAAGCAAGTTCGACACCTCAGGTGGCACTGAACTGGTATTGAGTTGCGCTGTACTTCATAAGCTCCGCCCACTGCAATGCTATTCCGGTTATTTTTGGGGATCTCCTCGTATAATGTGAAAGAGTCGAATCAAGATAATTTATTATTGTTATTATTATTATTAGTATGACCTACTTTCTTACAGCTTCACAGCGAATGGGCTCAAGTAGAAGTGATTGACTTAATAAACGATGGATCAGGTCTAGCCTTCGGTATCATTGGTGGCCGAAGTACGGGAGTTATAGTGAAAACCATTTTACCTGGAGGGGTAGCAGATAGAGTAAGTAATAGTGCAGCTTTTCGAATTTTTCATTTTTTAGATACACAAATACAAAATGTTACCAAAAACATATAGACATTCAATTCAATTCAATTCAATTCAATGGACTTTATTGTAACACATACATAATTATGTATCCTTACAAATGGCGAAGTCTGGCCAATTGCCATTTATACTTAAGCATAAATGTCATGTCAATGCTTATGACTACCTTAAAAATAAAATAAATAACTGAAAAAGAAAAGGAAAAAGAAGAATAATAGTAAAAGAAGAATTAATAAATATGACTTAATGCGTACGATTAGAACAAAAAACATAATACGTACGATTCAAAGAGAAGACAATAACCTAAGAGCTCAATGAGTAGTTCTTATATTTTGTTTTAGAAAAGTTGCTGATGAAACATTGTTCGAAAGAGTTGATCAATTTCACCGCATTATACGTAAAAGACCGTTGAAAAATGGCTGTCCTATGTTGTGGCATTGTCAGGAGATTAATGTTGCGCGTATTCAAATTGTGAATTAAATTCCTACGAACAAGCTTTTGAATAAGATAAACCGGAACAGAAGTTTTTAATATTTTTACGACAAATGTAACAAAGTTGTATTTGAAGAGATCAGAAATTTTCAACCAATTCATTGAAGATATTGAGTGAGAAACATGATCGTAGCTTCTTAAATTGTTTATGTAACGACTACATGAGTTTTGAATTTTTTGCAGTCTGTATTTTGTGATTTCATCCAGACAGGGATAATAAACTATGTTGCAGTAAGCGATTTTACTGAGTATGAGTGACCTCGCATAACACTTTCTTAATTTTTCTATTTAAAACAGCACATAGCCTATAGAAGCCTGAGTCTAAAATAATTAGACTTACACACATAGCCAACATGCTCCTGAAATCTGAAATCTTCATCCAAGTACAAACCTAAATTTTTTGCAGAATGGGAAAATATTAGGATACTATTATTTAGTGATAAATTTAAGTTTGATTTGAGGAAAGTACGTTTTTTCTTGGAGCAAAAAAGTATAGCTGTCGATTTCGATGCGTTTAGACGTAAATTGTGTTTTGCAGCATATGTGCATAAGTATTGCAGATCTTGATTGATAAGGTTGTTAGCTGAATGGTAGTTGTTCGGTCAGAAATTATGAAAAACCTGCATATCATCAGCATATGATTGACTAGAACAATGTTGGCACGCCGGAACAAATCGGCCTTTTGTCTGAAAGTTTATTTTGTATGACGACATATTGATGTCGTTCATTTAAATAGCAATCTATCCATTCCAGAACCAAGTCGTCACACCCAATGTATTTACATTTAGAAACTAACAGCTTATGATTCAGGGTGTCAAAAGCCTTGCTGAAATCCAATAAGACTAATGCAGTTGCTTCTTGCCTATCCGCCGCTGTTAGTACATCGTCACAAACCCGTGCCAAAGCGGTAGTGGTACTGTGACCCTTTCTAAAGCCTGATTGATTTAATGGCAAAATGCTGCGTTCGAGTAAATACTCATTCAACTGCATATAAACTATTTTTTCTAGAATTTTTGATAGAGCTGTCAGCAAGCTAATAGGTCGGAGATCACCAGGAACCTGGGGATTGGGAATCTTTGGAAGATGTTGCACTAATGCTTCCTTCCAAGCACTTGGAAAAACACCGCGCTCTAAACAACAATTTATTAAGTGCAAAATGTATATTCCTACAGCAGGTAGACACAATTTAATCATCTCAATGGTAATTCCATCAATACCACTAGAATTGGACTTGATACTGCGAATAGCATCCAATACTGTAGATATATCGACAAGACGGAACTGAAAATGAAAATCTTGGTTTAATTTGTTATGGCTATAAAATTCGATAGTTTCCGAGCAATCATCGTCACTTTTCTGGAATATACTGGTAAAATAGTTATTTATTTCAATGGGACCTGCTAAATCATCTGGAATGTCAGTATTACTAGAATCCTGAATTCTAAATGACTTAAGAGCTTTATAAAGAGCTGCAGAGTTTCTTTGTCGAGATAGATGTTGGAGGTAGCCTGATTTCTCTGCACGTGTAGCAGTTTTTGTAAAATTTCTCAGTTCATTGTAATGATTTCGATTCGCATCCGTTCGAGACCGTCTATATTTATGAAAAGCCTTATCTCGTTCTTTCATTATCATTTTCAAATTGTTTGTGAGCCATGGTGCACGAGGCTTAGACACTCTCACTGTTTTTAGTGGTGCATGTATGTCAAAAAGTCCTACAATGTTATCGGAAATAAATTTTACTTTCTCATCGATATTAGCCATATAAATAACTTCAGCCCAATTAACGCTAAATAAGTCATTGTCAAAAGAGGTTAGATTAAAATTGCGATAGTCTCTAAATGTAATTAGTCTAGGTGGTGGTTTATTGATTTTACACGAAATGTGACAGAATACAGCCTGATGGTCATTAAAGTTAACAGTGATAGTTCCCACTTTGGAACATCTTTGTGCATCGGATCTAAAAGCGTTGAAGAATGATCAATTATTCGAGTTGGTTCATTCAATAACTGGTGCAGGCTGTAAGATTGAAAGCACTGATTAATCTTATTATCAATAAAGAAATTAACGTTGAGGTCATCAAGTACCAAGATGCATTCATTAGACGGTGCTAAGGTGGACAACGTATTATCTAATATACCTACTGCAACATCCAAACTTCCCCGAGGCGGTCTATAAATAACACCAACTACAATACATTTACGGCCAATACGAACCTTGAGCCAAAGCATTTCTAGAGAAGTACGATCATATTCCTCAAACGATAGAATTTCTGATGAAAAACGATTTTTGACATAACAGCCAACCCCACCTCCGCGACTACCACGATCACGACGATGGAAGTTATAACCAGAAATATCTACTGAACTTGTTGGAATATCTGAAGACAGCCATGTTTCTGTAACAGCCACTACATCGAGATCCATATCATTAACCATGAAAGAAAGGTCCGCCATTGAAGGAATAATTGGTCGATAAAAACTAGAAACAAAATAATAGCAAGACATATGAGAAAAAACATTAAAAATGCCTACAACAGAAGAACGCTTCAATACTATAAAACCACTGATCAATTAGAAGCCTTGTCAAATTTTGTTTAAAGAACTTCACGTTTGTTTGTGCCTTAACCCCATCTGGAAGGTTATTGAAATTTTTTTTATATCTGAGTAATTCGGTGAAAAGAACATTTGCAGATGCAGATGTTCAGTTCCCAATTTGTCCAACACTATTGCTGATTAACGAATTATAACTGAAGATAGCCAATCTAATTCTATATTCTCGCGTCCAAAAATTGTCTGAAATTTAAAATGAGGTTCTGTGGGATCACCTATGCGAATTTGTCACAACCATGTTTCTTCTGTCTGCGCTGATTGGAAATCTGTTTTGACTCAAAGATGACGCAGCGGTCAGCAGTATTAGGATATAGCATACATTAGATTATGAGACGTTAACCTGTTCAAAGTAGATTTATAATTTCGCGGAGAGACGAAACATAGCTGTGACAAGTTCTCACAGGTGACGCTACGGTATTTCATTTCATCTCAGATATTTTTTTGGATTTATGAATATAGTATTAGCTTGGCTATTTCCAAGAACAGGGTGCGGCAGAGAGGATGGACGGTTTTAAAAAAATCAAAAAATAGTTAATTTTTACTCGAAAACAAATTTATTGATGGAATCAGGTTCACAAGGAAATAGCATTTGAGACAGTCAAGTGTGGAAAATCACATCAGGCATGTGGTGGCCGAAATCGTTGATGCAGTGCTGGAGGCGTTCTTGGAAGAAGAAAGAAAACATCGCATATGGATAAATCTGGGGACCGAGGAGGCCAACGAACATCGCCAAACCTGGAAATAAGGCGACCAGGGAAGAGAGGGCGAATAACGTCCATGGATGCTCGGGCTGTGTGGGCGGTCGCCCCATCCTGCTGGAACCACACACATAGGATTGGAACACGTCGCCGTCGTAATTCAGGGAGAAAGAAGCTGGTGATCATGTCGACGTAGCGCTCCGAGTTCACGGTAACATCACGACCATTACCGTCTTCGAAGAAGTAAGGGCCAATGATGCAAGTTTGCGATACAGCGCATCAAACAGTTACTTTCGTGTAACTGTAGCGGATTTTCATTAGCCCAATAACGACAATTCTGCTGGTTACCCGCATGGTTGTTTAGGTGAAAGTGGGCTTCTTCACTCATAGGCGAAAACGCTCCACCGTCCAAGGCTCCATAACGACAACTGGTAAAATAATGCTAAGATCTCACGAGTCAAACGGCACCCTCCCCACCTCTCTCGTAGACGGAGGCGGAGAGTACTACCCATCCCAAAAACGTCCGTCCTCTCTGCCGCACCCTGTAGAATACGTTAATCAAATGACTACTAAGAAATAGACCGTTTTATTTATTCATAAAATCAGAAGTAAGTCGTTGTGCACATGTCGCGAGGACAGGGGGGAATGCGGGTGTAACAAAGCCTGAAAATGGCCAACTTTGGTGGACATGATTTGCAAGGTCACACGTTCGAAGCACGATTCAGTGGCGTACTATAGGATCGGCAGTCGAGGTCGGAGTCGGATTCGACAGTATGAACATTTCATTTTTGAATAGTTTTTAGTAGCGGATCTATGAAAAAGGTCCCTATCGGCAATTTTTGAAGAGGATCCACTTGTTCAGTGCATCATATGAATCAAGTGATAAATTGTTAGGTTAATTTTTTTTATTTGATACAGTAAAAACAGGATCTTGAAACTATAAACCTTGTCGTTTTTCGTTCAGGGAGAAAACTGATACTTCTCAATAAGGAATTGTGACTAGTAATACCAATGTCATTTGATTAATAAGTAGTAGAAAAATAGTTTATTTTCATTAAATTATATATGTAAGAACAGGCAGCTCGCATTTTCTCAAGAATAAATTAGAAGCGTATCTTGCTGCTACTGCCTTGGTTTGATTTATAATATCGCTATGTACAGTTCAGAAGTATCAAATGGTACGAAGAAAAAAATTATAGCACATTATGTTGCACAAAAAGTATGCATTTTATAGAAAAGTTTTGCTTAATATGAGGAACGACGAAAAATTATACATCCTCAACTTGGATATAACTAAAAAGTGGCCTTGTATGCCCTCCATAAGTAAAAAATTATAAAATTGCCACGCCTTTTTTTTTGGTTAATTAATAAAACACAATGATAAATGCTATCTAACGGTTGGTCCAATCAAAACAATTGTCTAGTGGCGTGCAAATTTAGGTCGTAGCTCAATAAAGCGGAGAGTAGGGGGGGGGGGGGTTAAGAGCGCGAATGGCTTAGGACGAATTAAGCCACAGCTCCCCGAGATTTTAGTCGGAACTTGTTTTGCTCGACCACCACACAAAAGGAGAATCTAACCGAGATGACGAAATTTAAGCAACAGTACACACAGAGAGAGAGAGCCAAATAAACAAGATACCAAATGGATCACAATATATTGATTAAAAAGAACAAAACGCACATTACAAAAAAAACTGTCGCAAAATAAAATTGGGACACGTCACTGGGCAGGGGCTGCTTGCCTCGGTCCCAAACATTATGATGGTAACATAGAGAGAGAAAGACTGTTTAAAAATCAACTCATTGAAAACAATCGCACTTAAAGCAAAATCATGTACATTTTTTTCGTATAAGAAAAGTAAAGCAAAACAAAAAAAAAAAAGATTAAAATGTACTAACCCAATATACCCGTGTTCTAAAAAGTTATGGCAGCTCAAAAATCAAAATCATGATCAATGTAATAGAAGGTGCCATGTAGGCATTGCCCCCATATTTGAATACGTAGAATGTCTAATAAAATCAAGAAGTCTCTAAGAATTTCAATAAGCAATAATAAATGTATAAGGATGTATGAAATTGTTAATTAGAATGATATTTTACCTGTTCACATCAGGGTTTTTTCAAGGGGATGGCTTCCAATTTGCAAAACTGCAACGATGCAACTGACGAGGTCTGTTCGAAAATTTAGTATAATATTATGCTTTCATTTTGATTAGAATTATTTATTTCAGGTTTGATCCATCTCAGTCGTTTTATTCATGTTAGAATTATCCTTGATCTTCACGGATGGTGATAAAATCAACAAATCCTGAGTTATTGTTACACTTTGCGACAGCGAGGTGTCGGAAAATTATCATTATTGCCTGCATGTACGCTTTCGAAGCAGGACAATACCTCCCAATGAGCGCTAGGCTACTGACCAAAGTTGCTATGATCATGGAAGTGGAGACCTTGCCTCGGAATATTCGAGATGCGGTGTTGCCAAGCGAACCAATGACGCAATGTTGCAGGATTTGTGGCGATCCTGACCTTTCATTTGGACTCAAAATGAAGCGTCGTTAGGACCGATCCAGAACATATTGGTAACGCGGCAGTTTGCCGCGTCAGCGTTGTTAGGCAACACGGTGATGAGCTTCGCTATCTAGTCGGTTTCTATCTCTTTCTAACATATTATGTGTCCATAGACACTTCTCTTTCGTACACAGTGAACTCAAGCTTTCAGACAAATATGGTTTTTTGTGTATGAATATCTTTACCCGCTGTTAACTTATTAATCGGTACTGAATACCAACTATAGTTAGAAGGCATTTTCGGAGATTTACTAGCCTCTATTGAGGGACATGAAACATGGAAAATATCCGAGATGTCTGCAAAAATCCGAATGTAAATAGGTCTATATTCTTTGATATTAATACAGCACATTCACCTGATTTTTAAACAACACAGCGACACTGCTACCGTACTCCAAAAATGTTGAATGCTCATACTGTTTTATCGACTTCTGGTAACGATCCAAGTATTTAGAGGGTGGAAGAGGTATTAATACAGTGCATCGCTTACCATATATTACCAGATCTGGTGCCTAAGGCTATAGATTCTAAAGACGAAAAGGCTTTTTCTTAACACTGAATCATAGCCACACCAACATGTAGCCTTATGACTCGGTGGTCACTAATATATTCGCGTATATTTAACTGGATATGCAGGATCATGTTTATTGACAAACCTTTGTGTAGCGATTTATTACAATAATTATCTTAGATTTTACAATACACCGATAATAATGATGGAAAGAAGGGTTTATTCTAAACATTTTTTTAGGATGGTAGACTCAAAAGTGGCGACCACATACTCCAAATCGGTGAGGTCAATTTAAGAGGACTTGGTAGCGAACAAGTGGCTTCAGTGTTGAGACAGTGTGGAGTTCATGTCAGAATGGTGGTGGCAAGACCTGCAGACGCCACACTTCTGATGGCAGGTACAGGTACATGCAAGATTTAACGTAAATTATATCTTAGTTTTAAAAGCGACTGATAGTTTTAGTTAAGAAAAAATCAGAAAAATTGGCTTCTGATGAGAATTAAACCCATGATCTCCTGTGCCTAGAAGTGTCACCTGTCACCGCGATTGGCGTAAAACGTTCGATTACAATGAAGGAGGGGTCGTTGGTTCGATCCCCAGCGGTGGCATGTTTTTATCATTTCTAGCTTGATTCTTCAGATTAGATGGTAATGCAAACTATTAAATATTTATCGCAATCCATTATTTTTTTCTAGCAACCACAAATGGGGGAGATCTAGGAGATCAGACAGCTCTTCAAAGTAATTCCAGTACCTTCGCAGTAGTGCCCACAAGAGTTTTAGGAGATCCTGTTGAGTTGGATAGGTATTTAGCGGCTATAGGATGTACAGAAGTAAGTCAATATTTTATAACTTTCAGCAAATCCTCTTGTCAATTAAGTAACAAATACATAAGCTCTGCAGTTTACGTTGCAATCAAGTTTTTCTGTGAATCCATTTTTTCAGGTCTTTTCTAGTGGAATACCTCCTTACATATATGCAGATCATCATGAAGGAGTCAGAATACAAGTAAGTCCTTGTACATACGAGGATAAAGTGAAAAGTTTTCGGCCTATCACAGACATAACGCTACACTCAGTGAACATGTGTAGTCCCTCCTTTTGTACCCATGTAATTTATTTATATGACAAGCTTAAGCTTCTATTTTTAAGTAGTTGGTCCACACAATTTTTTTAAGTGAACATCTTGGGTGGTTCTCATCAAGATGGGGAAACTTGAAATTGAAAATCGCAGTGACTCATTGTCAGGATGTCAAGCCGAGAAATTTTCAACCTACACGTAAATATCGATCCAGAGTGTGATTCATTATTACCAAATGTTTTAGGAAATTAATTGATTAAACGTATCTTTACAACTTTGCAGTTAAAGGCTTCTTTCGATATCCTGTCATATTTGTACATGGTAAAAACGACTTTCTATTTATGACACCAAGAATCAGTGAAGAAGCTGAATTTCATTGTAATTCTCCTATTGTAGGTAGATAACTTGGGAAAAGACGATCAATACGTTCCAGTACCTTTTACAACAGGTGCTGTAATTCACGATACAGCTGTAAATATTTTTCAAGACACTAATTTGCCGGAGAGTGAAAAGTACGTTGTGGAGCTTACTAAAGACAATTTGGGACTGGGAATTACTGTCGCAGGTTATGTATGTGAGAAAGGTAAATATTAAAGCAAAAGGTTGAAATTAAATGACCTTCAAAAAATGTTATCTATAAGAGTTGTAGGGTGTATATAAAGTTTTTCAGGCAATGTTACATAGAATAAATATGTAGTTTTTATTGTAACATCCTGTATATATTTAATTAAAATGATACTTGCTCTTTTTAGGTTCAGAATGTATATTCCTAGTTTACTATAATTATTTTCATCACTTTGGTCAAAAAATTTATGTCATTTTATCATTATGAATCCGACCCTATACCTGATTGAATAGCCGGTTAGACTGGCTTGAGCTCTGGCATACATGAATAAATGATACACAAAATTTAAGTTACAGACCAAACTAATGAAATAAGTAGGATGAACCATATACAGGGTGGCCCATCCATGTGTGGACGGAATATTAGATACTCATAAACAAATACATTTTGGGAAAATCTATTTATGGGATATTATACATTTGAGGGCACATTTCTAAAATATTGGGTGTCCCAATTTTGACCTACATATCAAAGCTGTGATTTTTCAAATGGAATGCCTCAAATTTTATTGCATATTTGGATGTACCAATTCAAAAGAAGAAAATTGATATGACATACTATCGGGTTTTGGTAATTAGCTACTGAATTTTGTATCAAAAGAAACTTACACAACTCAGCTTTTATCTTTTTTGTTACTTTTTCCAATTTTAATTTTTGATCATACAGGGTGGTCAAAAACGTAAATTGTAGTTTTTCTCAAAAATTTCAAATGCATCACCCTGTATATTTGTGCGTTTAGATTCAGTTTTTTATAAGCTTTTTTTTGATACTAGACACATAAGGGTTTTTACGACTACTTGTTCGGTTATTAGCATGTCTTTTATGGAACGGCTTAATTCCCTAAAATATCGCATCATCCTTGAAAACAAATAAATTGTTGATCGTTACAAACTGTCAAAATTAGCTTTGTGAGCATTATAATAAAAACGTGTTTGAAAATGAATATTTCTAATGAAGAAATGGCGAATATGTTGTTCAAGCATTTGCCTTTGCTTTTGGAGAATGTCAACCTGCAAACTCGGATGCATATGTACTCCCAGCATGCCGGCACACCTGCGCATTATCATAATCGTGTACGTAACTACATATTTGGACACCTGGAGTAACCATCGTTGTCGTGATGGGCCTATATCTTGGCCTCCTAGATCACCAGATACGAGTATGACACCGATGGATTTCTTTCTATGGGGCTACGTTAAGCAAGAGGTTTATAGACATCCATCATCTACCCCGGAAAATATGATGGAAAGGATTTAGGATGCTTCTCTGAACATATGGAAACACATGGAACTAGCCCACTGTTTGTCTTTTGTTTCCAGGGACGATGTGATTTTTTTCCTTAATTTTGGTGTTGTTCTATTAAAAGCTTAATAACTGAAAATCTAGTAATTTTATCTGAATCAAACCATATAACAAAAATGCTTATAAAAAATTGAATCCTAACTTGCACAAATATACAAGGTGAGACATTTGAAATTTTTGAGAAAAAATACAATTCGCGTTTTTGACCACCCTGTATGAGCAAAAATGAAAATTCGAAAAAGTAACAAATAAGATAGAAGCTATGGTGTGTAAGTTTTTTTTGATACAAAACTAAGCACTCCAAATTTCAAAATGGCGGATTGAGGGGTTGCCGAAGTGGACGGTTTTTCTGGACAAAACACCTTACATCTCAGTAGCTAATTACCAAAACTCCGTAGTATGTTATATCAATCTTCCTCCTATGAATTGATTTGTCCAAATATGCAATAAAATTTGAGGTATTCCATTTAAAAAATCATAATTTTGATATGTAGGTCAAAATTGGAACACCCTGTATAATTGCCAATATTTTAGAAATGTGCTCTCAAATGTCATGTATAACATGCCGTAAACAGGTTTTCCCAAAATGTATTTGTTTATGAATAATATTCCGTCCACACATGGATGGGCCATCCTGTATATGCTTGGAATCAGAAAACAGCGAATACCATTTCCACTGACAATATACAGAAGAAAAGAAAGATGTTGCACGTAAGACTTTATATTAGACCCTACAACTCTTGTATGGAACATTTTTTAAATCCTCATACAAAAGAGTAAGAGGGGGTCAATTTATAGCGGGACACCCTGTATATGTATAGTCTGCGAAAAGCAGAAGTTCGCCAATTTTGGCATAACAAACAAGGTTAAAAATTGATTCAAAAGAAAGTAATCTCAAAATACTCTACGGAGTCTTGTAGAGCAAGGTATTGAAAATTATAATTTTTATCCAAATTTTTAAGCATTGAGTATACCGATTTTTAGGGATTTCCATACATCAAATCGTTTATAACTAGAAAATGGCCAGCTTTAGAGAAACGTTTATGGGAGCCTAAGAAACCCCAAAATAACTTGTCTGGACAAAAAACTAATTTATTTAAAAAATTTGACCTAGGTTACCGGGCGAGAATATTCAATGATTAAAAACACGGTTAAAAATTATAATTGTTGAAGTCATCAAGTATCTAAATTAAAGTTAAAACCTTGCTCTACAGGACTCTATTTTGCGACTAGTTTATTTTGAAGCGATTTCAATTTTGTTTTTCAGATAAAAAATTAGCGAGCTTTTGATTTTCACAGTGGGAGCTCTAGACCTGTAGATACAGAAATCCTTTTGAAATTCTTTGGTTATATATTAATTGGTTTTCTTTAAATTTCCATTTCAACACTACTTCTTAGAACCCTTTTTTTCAGAAGAAATTTCTGGAATTTTTGTGAAAAGCGTAAGCAAAGGAAGTGCAGCAGATCTTACCAAAAATATTCAGAATAATGATCGAATAATTGAAGTAAGTATTCGACGTAATGTTACATACAGTTACCTTGAATAAGGTTTAGAATCAGACCAATCAACTGCGGACAAAGAATAATTATGGCAACACATGGGAAGATTTTAGAGCTTTTTTCTCACACCACTGGTGAGAATTATATATTCTGTTTTTTGGATGTTATATGACGTACATCACAAAAAGCCATGTCACTAATTTCCGTCGGTTTGTCAGTCTGTCTGTATACTTGTTGATCCTTGGCCCTTCTATAACATACCATTCGGGTTTTGATTAAATTTTCACACAACGTTGCTCCTATACCAAGAGCAAGAAGGGTTTATAGTTTTTAAAAGTCGGTCCAGTGGCAGTGGAGCTAGGGGCCAAAAACGAAAAAAATAAAAGTCGCCCAAACTTCGTTTTTTGACGTTTCAGAGACAACTCATCTTTTTCATAAAACATGTTGCAGGAGTTAAGAATTGGGGGTTGGAGGTTGTAGGGGGTGCATTTTTTTTACGTTAGTATATCCATATGCATCCAATCTCAGTAATTCTACGGATCTACTAGATATGTTTCATACATCACAGATTTCCCGTATATTTACCTGCTTCGAGGACTGACCAATATCTGACCAATGGGCGGCTGCTGGTAGCAACGTCCTGTTGGGTTGGCGAGTGCCGGGGTTAGTCACAATAACGTTGCTAGAAGGTCAGTACTGTCTGAAGGGCAGGGGGACCCTTATAGATCGCAAGACTCTCAAATGCGTGGAGACTATGGACTAATTCGATAGACCTGTTTGACTGACTTGATCTATTTAATTTTTATACATGTTCGTAGCTTACATCATCCTTTATGAACTGATGACATTGTTGCGTGAGAAGTGCAGAGTCAACCTACTTGACGCCATTTTTTGCTCTAGAAGTATTGCGACTACTTTCTGAATCGTATCGCATTTCATTGTAATAATTTTTTTACCAATTTTTAGGTAAATGGTGTCTCCGTGCTGGGCATGACGAACCACGCAGCTGTCAAACTGCTCCGTCAATCAGGGCCCAGTGTCAAATTGACGTTGGAAAGGTATTTACGAGGTCCGAAGTACGAAAGGCTCCAACAAGCGATAAGAGCGAATGAGATGAGGCCTCCGAGCCCGCCCTCTCCCACTCTCACTTCACTACCCAAAGTGCCCTTAAGTCAAGTGGTAAGTTGAACGGCAGGGGTATTAACGTAGCTTGAGAAGTGACATTATGTTGTTTTTTTGACATTATCTAGGCTTTTTATGACATTATCTAGGGTTTCCCTGCAAGATGTCAACGTGGAACTATAGTTCTAGTCACAGTTTTTGGCGGGTCAAAGTAAGACTACCAGAATCCCTTTATATATCTCCTTCTCCCTCATACATACACATGCAACCTACCTCTGTGTGTGAATGTTTGTTCGGTAAGCTCAAAGACATACTTTTTTTAGTTGTGTGTGTCTGGAAAACTTTTTCGTTACGTATGAGAGCACTTCAATCATATTAGAGTATCTCCAGGAAGAGAATGGAAACAGCGGTCCCCTGTTACCCACTTCATGTGTACTGGAGAGAGTAGCAGATGCGCTGAAGATTAGTCTGCTCAGTGTTCATCGAATAAAATCAGTAAATAAGAAAGGTTTTCCGATAGTAAATGCAAGACCGATGATGTAATTGATGCCATCAAAACAGAAATTAAGAATACTTTCTACGATATGAGCTGACCTCTGCGCTCAAGATTCGCCATGGTACGGAGATTCGATCTGTTTACTTATTTCATATGGCGTTGATGACGTAGGACCTTTGCCCATTAGTCACTGTCGTTAGTCGAATCTGACAGTACTGGTTGCCCAGAAACCAGACAATGTTAAGGAAAAATAGAAAAGGAACGAGAAGAAAAATGGAGACGAGCAAAGAAAAATAGAAGTGTTTAGTTTAAGAGGAGACACCTAGGCTTTTTGACTTTTGAAAATTTTTGATTCAATTTTGTTAGAGTGTAATTTTAAGTGTACTAAAAGTTCGCGCTAATTTTTGATTACAGTGCGAGCCGTGGCCTTGAATGTTCACGAACTTACTCCACTGTGTAGTCTACTGAATCGCGCAACAGAGGGTTGCTGAATTCTGCTTGACTATAAAGCCGCTGCACCTGAAGTTTGACATAATCCCTTAAGTAAGGAATGTCAAGGTATCTGTGTAGTGTCTCGTTTGAGACATACCATGGAGCGTTGCAAATTGTTCGCAAAGTTCTACTTTGCAGTACTTCAAGACTTTGCATATGTGTCTTGGCAAGAAAACACCATGTCGCACATGCATAAGTAATGGCTGGTCTAATAATCATTTTATATAGGCGAACTTTGTTTATCAAACTCAATTTGGAGGATCTACATAGCAAAGGATATAGTTGCCGAAACACAATTTGGAATTTTGTTTTCAAGGCTGCTGTATGTTTCTGCCAGGTACACGATTGCCATCTACAGATACCTCTGCTGGGGGGCCGCGAGGTGACTACAACTATAGCTGTCTTTCTCTTCATGCTCAATTGTAGCAGACCCGGAATGAACTATTTGCACACTAGCAGCTACCTAGTCAACAAGTTGACATTTTATCGGACTTTTTGACATTGTATAGGCTTTTACCATGTGGGGCATCAATATAATTCAACCCTTTGCTGTCAGATCTATTTCTTTATACCGAAATCACTATGTTAACATCCTTATTACACTGCCGGTCATCATCGGTAGTATAAATGGCAACACTGGCTTGATGATGCCTGCCTAATGGAGAGATCCGACCTGTCACTTAAAGTGGTTCATCACGTTTTACAAAGTAATTATAATCTAAGTAATATCTATTTTCTGATAGTATAGACTTGTAAGTACTAGTATGATGCAATATCTCAGATTTTAGTCATAGCTTTGAAAATTCACAGCATTTTTTATCTCAGATTTTGCCATTTTATTTCTTAATACTTTCTCGGGAAATACCAGTGCTACATTTCTCAATTTTTGTATTTAGGTTCAATTCAACAATATATATTTAGACCTTTATGGAAGAGCCAAATCACACGCGATTCGTAATATACTTTAAATTGTTGTGCTTCATGGTCGCCCATTGGGGGCAAGGGGGCATATGCCCCCCACGGATTCCGCTCGAGCATCAAAATATTCTTAATAGAGTACCTGAATTTTGGACAAGGAGTGGGGTGTGTTTTTTATTTAAAACATCCCTACATAGAAATTATCTTTTATTCCACCGCTTCAAACACTGGTTGACTGGCACTTGCATAAGTTGACCTTCTATGAATTCCATTATTTGTTCGCCCATGTTATGCTTGATACTAAGTACCAGACTTGGGTAGTATTCGAATACTCGGTGTTTTGAATCTTAAATAATACATTTGACTGGCATTCGATTAGTATTGTATTATTAGTACATTTGTGTGTACAGTACTCGGTATTTTGGATTCTGAATACATACTCAGTGACATTAGAAGTGTTACACCCAGAAAAAACAATTTCTTCAACTTTATTGTTTGGCAATGAGGTAGTCTTACACGATATTATTATCACGAAATTTTATTGACAAGTAATAAGAAAAAAAATAATAACGTGTTGGGCGACCCCGCAGCTGAATACACTCCTGTATACGTATAGGCATCGACAAAATGAGATGATCGATGTCTGTCCAAGCAACTCGAACTTCGTGGATTAGCTATGGTAGAGTCTGTGGCGGATGGTGCAAAAAGGATAGTCTCCTCCCCATCATATCCCACACATATTCGATGGGTTTTAAATCAACGGCAAAACATTAACGCCTTCTTCTTGAAAAAAGTTCCTAGTACTACGAGTAATAAGGGGACGTGCGTTGTCTTGCTGAAAAAGGACGTGTGGAGGGCCATATAAATACGGCAGTAAAGTGGTTTCAAGGACATCATCAACACAACGCGCAGCAGTCATATTGCCTTGAACAAAGAGAATGGACGATCGGCTGCCATAGGCAATAGCCCCCCAAGCCATTACTCCAAAAGTCCTGTGTACATACCGCTCAACAGAAATTCTAACATCACGCCGTTCTCCACGGCGTCTGCCTACCAACGTTGCCATTCTCTGCTCCAGCTCAAACGTTGGCGAAAATGGTCCATAGTCAGAGGAAGCAGTAACCGTGGACGGTATGAAAAAAGTCCAAAGGCTCGAATGCGGCATAAAAGCAGGTCTACCTTCTTTTCCATTGGTCAGTGACATGACGAGCAGTAGCAAAACCGTCTTGTAGGGCTAGTTACCTGAAGCGCCTATCTTGACGCTCTGTGGTACACCTCAGTGGATCAGTTGGCTTACTTCGTGTTCCTCTACCATCTTCTATCCACACACGATACACATGTATTACCGTCATTGCAGTACAATTAACATGGCGGCCAATTCCGCGATAGGATAAACCGTGTCGATAGGCAATAATTCCACCCTTGTCAAAGTCACTAAAATGGTGATAATTTGGACGTCTTCGAACTCGAGGCATTCTGTTATGCTTAACACTCGTAAATGAAAGGGCAATAACTAAAAATATCTGCACTACTCAGCCATCAGAAACTACAAGATAACATTTTAACAAAGGTTAACAAAAACAAATATAGAACGTTGACATTGTTGGCCACATGATGCTTTAAATATAGCCATTATGTTGCCAAAAAACAAGATGAAGAGATTGTAACACTTCCAATGTCACTGAATATAGTTTATGAACCCCTGTATTCGAATACCCACTGTGTATTCCAATCCCGGTACACGAATTCTGTTTTCAAATACTGTTTGGCTATTTTTATGATTATTTCGTTAAGCCATACACAACTTATGTGCATTAAAACAAGTTTGAGGTCATTGTGGATGGCACAAACAAAATAGCTACGCAAAGTTATTTTGTTTGTAAGTACATAAATAAGGATGAGGTTCAAAGTGCATATGTTTTTTTTAGTTGGAATAGTCAAAAAGTATTCATATTTAAATGAATCCAGGAATTTAATACAGCGGTATTCGAATACCCTTTAAAAATAACAACATCGTAGATTGAATGTTTCCATAAAGTGCGATTAGCTATACCTGCTGATCTCACCAGTTGAGCAATTTTGTTAGCTATCATTTCTTTGCTGATAAAAAAACTTCAATCACAGACAACAATTTATTGTCATGCTAACGTCAGATAGCAAGTTAATCTAAGAGGGTTTAATATAGATAATTGAAAAATATGATATATGGAAGAAAGAATGAACACTGCAGTGCTTTCATTCTTTCTAAAATCATTTCAATCAGTATTAAGTAGTTAAAAGTAACTCAGCACTACGCGCCGAATATGTCCTAAAATTTTCCTGTCAGTATTCTGTAATACCCTGTATTTCGTAGCAAATGGGATTCCTGAGCATTGAACCCGACGATCTTTCCCGAACCAGTTTCGAATTTGACTCCGCCCTACTTTTGGAGGACGATTTAACTCCCGTCAATGAAGAGAAAGAAATTGTCATTGGAAATGAAAAGAGATCCGTCCAATTTTTTATACAAGACCAAGATTTTATCTACGATAAGTGGAAGGACAGGGTAAAGGTAGATGATGAAATTGTGGTAAGTTTATAGACTAAAATTTTACTCACACTCACTTTCCAACCTACCAGAACTTGATCACAATATCCGACCAGTCTTGCCTATTTCTATATCTGATTAATCTGCAGTAGTATGTGGGAATTGCAAGCAGACGATTTGGATGATCTCCTTTTCGTTTAAGAGTGCTACGAGCTTCTTAATCTGCTTGTAAGGCGAATGTCACATAACACTGATACACACAGGATTGTGACATGACAATTTTTGGGTGTATCTTGTGCATTTTATTATTTAAATCAAATCTAAATATAGAATTTTTCTATCACCCACAGATATTCGGTAACATCTACTTTTATGAATTACAATACGTGACATCTCATATTGCTGCATTTCTCGGCGTTTATGCGATGAAGCACATATATAATGTTAAGACCTGTGTATTCCTGTTTATTATATACGAGCTTTATGTTTAGAGAGCATATAGAGTTTATTAGCAGACTAATAGCAGCCGAGTCAGTTACGTTTTCTGTGTTGAAGAGTACTGAGATGTTCTGAGTACTGTTAATTTTTGTTAAAACGGTGTGTTGTTTTTGGTTTATTGTGATCGAGAGTAGCTTTATGGACAATGCCTGGAAATTGTGTAAATAGTGCGAACAGTTTTTGTTATGTGTGCGGAGAACTTTTAAATCCCGAAAACGTACTTTTACTTGTGTTGAAATCATACGAACTATTTTGGAATTAAAGTTGGCGACCAAGATAAACTATGGGCTCCTCATATATGTTGCAAGACTTGTGTAATATTGTTAACAGGTTGGTTAAGAGGCGACAATCGTAAAATGCCTTTTGCGGTACTAATGCTTTGGAGAGAACCGAGAGACCATACTACTGACTGCTATTTTTGCCTCACAAATATTACAGGTATTGGACCTAAATCGAAAAATACTGTTAAGTATTTTAATTTACCATCAGCTCTGCGGCCTGTTAAGCATAGTGATGAACTTTCTGTCCCAGTTCCACCAGAATCTTGGTCTTTGGATGAAAAAGTCAAATCCACCGATTCTGAAAGTGATGGTACAGAAAGCGTAAAAATTTCCGATCCTTCGCTTGACCTCCAAGGATGTTCAACAGCGCCGCATATGATCACACAGGGCGAACTTAATGACTTAGTTCAAGAATTAAATCTGTCAAAATCCCAGTCAGAACTTTTAGCGTTAAGATTAACAGGATGGAATCTTTTCCACGGTGGTGTTAATATTACTTTTTACAGAAGACGGCAACAAGACCTCACACACTGTTTCCGTCAAGAAATGTTGCTCAGACGTCAACAATTTGTTTGACGCGTTAGGACAGAAACATTATCCAAATGATTGGCGCCTGTTCATTAATTCCTCTAAGCTTAGTTTAAAAGCGGTATTGATACACAACGGTAATAAATATCCATCGGTACCTATAGCGGAAGGGATCATATGAAAATATGCGAGTTCTGTTAGAGCATATCCGTTATAATGAATATGGATGGGCAATACGTGCAGATTTAAAGGTAATAGCCATTCTTCTTGGAATGCAACTGGGATATACCAAATATTGTTGTTTTCTTTGTGAATGGGACAGTCGCGCGTGAAATCGTCATTATGCAAAGAAGGAGTGGCCAACTACGTCAGGTATTAACTCCGGGCCTCAAAAACATAGCTTATGAACCACTAGTTCATCCCAAAAACGTGTTGCTGCCACCTTTGCATATTAAGTTGGAACTGATGAAAAATTTTGAGAAAGCTATGGATCAAAATGGCATATTTGTGGGTCCACAAATACGGAAAATTATGAAGGATATTGTATTTGACAGTGCCCTAAATGAAACTGAATTACGAGCTTGGAATGGTTTTAAATCAGTTACTGCAATTTTTTTAGGCAATGTGAAGGTGGACAATTATAAAGATATTGTGAGTGAACTAATTAATGCTTATAAAGGAATGGGATGTAACACATCTCCAAAAAATTCACTTTTTGAAATCTGGATTTTTTTTCCGGAAAATTTGGGTGGGGTAAGTGATGCACGTAAAACGGTATCAAGGCAAATCGAGTGTCAATTTGCTTGCTGATTATAGCTGGACATTGTTAAGTGATACTTCAGGAGTAACATATCGCCGTAAAACATTGACAACAACATTCTGAGATTAATGTTTATTCGAGTGTTTATTAGTACTCTTACACACATATCCTTATATTTTACGAGTATAACCAGCAAATAAAATGCCTTATTGCAAGTAAACTGTGGGCGATAGAAAAAAATCGAATGCTATTTTCGGCTTTTTGGGTACGTTTTACATAATAACTACCTTGTTTTGTCCATTTCACAAAAAAATATTTTAATTTTGTTCACCAGTGTAATCAGTACTTACTGTGAAATGTAATATTTACTGATCCTGTAGCCAGGACGTCAGTAATTATTCATATATAACGTTACCTAGAAATCAACTAACATTGATGGAGTCATCAATACAATGATTTACGGACCACAGTAAATATTGATCGTGTATTATTCTCCTATTCAATGAGGGCGTTTGGCTTGTCAAGTTGAACCGCCTTTTACGGACTATGCCTGTGCAACCACAATAGTAAAATACATAATAACAATACAATATTCATAAAAAAAGTTTAATTTTCGATATACTTTTAGATTGCCAGGATGCATAAGGGAGAAAACAGCGGCTTGGGAATTAGTCTAGAGGGTACAGTAGATGTTGAAAATGGTAAGGAGCTACGACCTCATCACTACATCAGAAACATTCTGCCTGATGGACCTGTGGGAAAGGACGGAACTCTACAATCGGGGGATGAGTTGCTAGAGGTATGTGATACCAAACAACCGTTATATCTATTCATCTGATGGTAAACATATTTTGATTCGGATTTTTTTGCATAATTTTTTTTTGACATTCTGAGCTAAAAAGGTGCTTTGGGACCTTTCTCTAAAGTTCATAGTTTTCGAGATATAAGCGAAATGCGAAATATGCTATTTTAGACCTCGAAAAACAATATCAAAGAATTTTTGACCCAAATTTGAGTCTGTCAACATACAGATTCGTTGAGAAGGGCAATTTTTGAATAAGATCCGAATCGGAATATTTTTCCCATCAGATGCAAAGATATTGCCCGACTATAGGTTCTTCCGATAAAGAGTCTTGAAAATTTTGATTTTAACCAATATCTGAGACTTTAAAATCCATCTGGATTCTTATTTATTGCATAGGTATTTTTTAACGACTTGAGTTAGATATTCAAATATGCATATACAGGGTGAGTTTTTAGTGTAGGTTCTCTTGATAACTTCGAGTATCTATGGGATAGTCCTTTTCAAACGAAGCAATTTGATATTACATATTATAGGGTTACATTTTCAAATTGCTGATATATCGGACAATTTATCGAAAAAAAAAACAAACGTCATCTGTTATAGTTAAAGTACTGAATTTTTGTCCAGAAATAATTTATGGTCCCGTATTATCTCACATTTTCAGTTTTATTGACAGTACACATAGAGTGGCAAAACGGACGACATGAAAATCTACAGGGTGTCGCATCGGGAACTCCATCGATGGATTTCTCGAAAAGTAGGCATATGATATTTTTGAATAGTGGCACTTCCGATTATACCGGAAGTTGATGCTTTTAAATTGGACACCCTGTATATCACTCAATATTCGGTTTCTAAATAAGATTCTAATCACATTTTATGTATAATCTCCCGCTAGAATTCTTTCATTGCACTCAAGGAGCATTTGATCTTGCTTGGTGGCGTTTCAGTTCCTGAGAAATATTATTATAGGTGAATGGTGTACAATTGATGGGACTCAACCACTTAGATGTTGTCTCGATTTTGAAACAACTTCCGAACACTGTTTGCCTTGTGTGTGCCCGACATGCTACACCCATCCAAATCATCGATACTTCGCAACATAAAGAAGCATTCCAAGCAAGAGTAAGTATAATAATAATATATGTCTTTATTGCATCATTAACATCACTACATAACATTAAAAAGTATGATTGAAATGGCGGAGTCTAGCCGTTGGCCAATCTACTTAACAAATATTTGGAAATATAAAAATAAAGTCTAAATTAAGTACAATTATACTATACAGGGTGGCGCATCGAAAACGAAACAGAGGCATTTACTGGCAGCTCAGACCCGTCGATTTTGTTTTCGAGGGGGACACAAGTTTGGCAAAAAATCACACTAACACGTGCAGCTCCTGGGTGGGGGTGACACCAACCCTAAAATCTTAAATGGAAAGGGGGGTCGAGTGATACCTTATTTTAAAGGTATTTCAATTCCCTATATAATGATATAAAATTAATGTACTTCAGTTCAGTAGTTTTGAAGATTTATTGATTTAAAGCTTAAAGTAGACTTTAATAGGTACATCTGATTAGTTTGTACTACTTTCAGAAGAAATTTGACTAAAAGAATTTACTTAAGTACATGCATTTCTTCACTACGCCCATGGTTTGTTTATCATTTTGTTGTTGTAAATAGCTATTGGACCGTTTTTTTTGTGGCAAAAAAGTTATTTGTTGAAGAAAGATAAGGAAATATCTCGTACTTATTTTAAATAGGAATTTAGTACATAGTTTGAGATTGATTTGACTAAACTTTGTTGCTAAAATAACTTGTAACGCTTCATTAAATTAATCATGGTATATTCACAGCGGAAAGAGTTGAAATTATGGAAATATTTTTCGGAAATAATCAGTGCGCCAATAGAACAGCAGAAATATTTAATGAGCGACATGAGAACAGTAACGTGCATCGAAAATATGTTCTAGAACTTGTAGCTAAATTTCTGGAAACTGGGTCAGTCGCCAATGAAAAACGAAATATTGAAAATCCCTTAAGGAACGAAGCAATAGAGGCGGGGGTTTTAGGGCAAGTTTATGTAGAGCCTACTAAGTACACGCAAATTGGAGACTGTGTGTGGTGTTAGTCGACGTACTGTCCAACGGATTCTAATGGCCCATAGTTTTCATCCGTATAAAATTCACCTGGTACAAGAACTTAATGATGACGATTTTGATCGGCGATTACAATTTTGTGAAGATATGAGTGAACGAATTATAAACGATGAACATTTTCTATTCAACACTTGCTTTTCCGACGAATGTTCCTTTTTCGTAAAAGGCGTAGTAAATCGTCATAACTGCCGATATTGGTCCGATTCTAATCCCAGAATTTATCATGAGGTTCATACAAATTAAGAATGTGCAAACAACGAACGACTTTTTAAAAAAGCGACTTTATTTAACAGAAGACGAATGAGTACTGGTCACCTTGGTTTACATGCATCTCTTACTTATAACCTACGCTAGAACAAAGGAATTGAAAAGTGCAAACCTAAGCAACTCTACATATTAGATCATCATCATAGCAGTGCCGTAATTCCTCCCTCTTCAAGAAGATTGAACCTCCTGGTTCAAAGGAAAAATCTGGTTAAGTTCAATGTCATTTTTGACTGATTGATTTTTTGGTTCTTTTTGCTTCAAAAGAGAGAGCAATTGTTTTTTTAAACAAAGTATAATTACAATAAATGTTAAAATACATAAAATAGTTATAATGCTAAACGTGGACGTTTTGTGTGAAAAATCTAAATTTTTTAATTTATCGTGTAATAAAACATTATTCAATTGTATGTCCGAATAACCCTTTACATCAGTATTTTCAAATAACATATTCTTATCATAGTTCACCATAATGTTAGGTATGTATAAAGGTTTCGAAATATCAGAAATCTTCAAATACTCAGTATGATCAATAAATGTTTTACAGTTTAAGCTGATAATAAAAGAGGAATCAATTTCTTTTCTTTCTTTGGTACAATCTTCATATACTGGAATATTCTTGTTAGTATTCACTAAATAGTTATCATGTTTTAATTGAATTACTTCTGAAAATGAACCTTTTGCCAAGAACGTACAATTTTCAACTTTAAGTAAGTTACAACTGGAATGGATTAGTATAGTACAGTAAAAATATTTATTACTCAATAATTTGCATTCATCACAAAAATGTATAGTTTCATTTTCGATAATATTTTTATGTTTCAATACCAGAATATTATTTTGGTGTATAATGGGGTATATATTGGAATATATAAAGTTACCAGTAACTGTTGGTATGTGAAGAACAAATATGATTTCTTCTTCGAGGACTATAATACTTAATTCACATAATTCGAAAAATTCAAAATTGTGCAGTTTATCAAGTGGGAGAAGTTCATTTGTGTCAAATAGATCACTTAATAACGAATGGATATAATTAATTTCAGTCTTACTCAGCTGTAAGAGATTTATGCCCTGATTTGTGCTCAGGTTAATGGTTAACAGTAAGTGTGATAAATAATTAGAAAATCTTTGAATAATTATTATCTCATTCAAGACATACTGAGAATTAGCGTATTCGCTATGCAATTTGTTGAGGTTATCCAAATTATCTCTCAAATTTTTCTTTATAATTAAAGTGTTATTTTCAAACCTGTCTTGTAATTGTTTTGCTACAGAGACGGTTCGGGAATTTTGTAATGATAAATTATCTTGATTTTCCTTCAGAATTTTCATATTTTCCATTATTTCGTCTAGATCAGATTGATCTAAATTGCCTGAAATATATTTTATGACGGAACCAAGACCATTAAATAATCCACGCTGAACTCGTTTAAATTTTAACATTTCATATTTGTCTAAAAGCAAATTGTATTCATGTTCAAGTTGTGTTATCAACGTATCATCTATTCTTTGTTTTGCAAAATAGACATTTGACGTTATTTGCTTGATATTTTCATTAATGAGAGTGAGATTTATATGAAAAAATGTCTTATGGTACGCTTTTAGTAGATAGGCGTTACCTAGCTCTTGCTTAAAATATGGTGCTTTATTCTCGATCAGCTGGATCTCTAGACCGGCTAGTTGAAGGGCCTGGATTAGGATCCTGAAAGTTAGAAATTTTGCGTTGCGGTTTCACTCTATTCAGTCTATGCTTTTTTCCTTTAGTGCGCAAATTAATATGGACATTTTCTTGTTCGTAAGAGGTCTCTTTAGAATACAGGGGTTTTGTTTTATGTGAACGATCTAATGCAGATTTAAGATATACTGGACCTTCTAAGGTTGGAATTTCCTTATTTCGATTTTGATTAATTTTTTCTAGTCTTTCCGTTGCCTTATCTAGTACACGGTTCGATAGTTCTTCATAAAAAGGTAGTAATTCTCTGTACCGTTTCTCGTTATATTCATCATATAATTTTGTGGGGGTATCGATCAAATGCTTATTCAAATCGTCGTAAGGACCGTATAATAATGAAAATGGGGTATATGTGGTCGTAGAATGGACACTTTGGTTATAAATTAAGATAGCTGTCGTCATTAGATCAATAATCGAATCGATTTTATTTTGCTGACGTAAAATTTTGAGTTTTTCTTTCAAGGTACTATGAAATCTTTCAAGAGGTGATAATGATGAGGGGTTACCTACACTAGTAACATGACATTCAATTTTGTGCATATTACAGAATTCTTTTATAACTTTTGTGTTAAGTTCACCAGGATCAAAAGTTATTTTGTCAGGATAATTGTGATGGGAAAAGAAGTGTCTGATTTTGTTTAATATTTCGTTAGATAATTTTGATTTTAAATTGTAGGCCTGGGCATATTTACTAAATAAATCAACAAATGTTAAAAATATTTGTTGTTCGACTTGAAAAATATCTAGAAATATATGTTCAAATGGTCTTTTGGCTATTAGAGGTCCTTCCATAGGGAGTTCGATTGGTCGTCTTTCGTATTTTGATGTCAAACAAGTATTGCACTGATTAATGTAATTTGATATTATTTTTTTCATATTTGGGGTGAATGCTTTTTCTTGAAATGGCTGTAAGTTTCATTGATACCATTATGCGTTTGGCTATGATAGAAAGACAATTGTTCTGTAAATGAGTCTTTTAGTAGGTATATAGGCTTATAAGAAGCTTTAACAAATCTTATACCGCTGTTCGAAAAATACTGTTCTAAAAGTTCGTTAAGTTTAAATTCTAAAAGTTGATTTTCATACCAAATACCATAAGTATGATCGGGCTGAAGATATTCCTTCATGAATTTCAAAAGTTGCTCTGTTTCAGATCCACTTCGGACTGTTACCATTAAAGTTCCATTGCAAGACTTTGTTATTTTGTACTGATTTTTTAACTGAAAATGTATTCGATTTTTGAAAAAATAAAAATTCTTTTCTTGATACAATATATGATTGATAGGATTTTGTGCAGATGAATGTCGAGTAACATCAGATTGCTCAACAATTTTGAGTCGTTCATCTAACGGCATTTCATCTAATAAATCAATTAAAGGTAAATTATCTTCATTCAAGATTTCATCAAGTTCTTGGGTTGTTAACTCTTCTACAGAATCTACTTGTGGTAAAATGGATAAAAGATCGTCATCCTCTAAAGCGTTAATTTCAATTCTACTGAGCGCATCGGCTACAACATTGTCTTTGCCTTTTTTATATTTAATTGAAAAATTATATTCTTCTAACTGAAGCTTCCATCTAATCAATCGCTGATTGGGCACTGATAAAGAACTCAACCAAACTAGGGGCTTGTGATCACATTCGATTAGAAAATTTTGACCAAATAAATAAGGACGGAATTTTTTACAAGAATCAACTATTGCCAATAGTTCTTTTTCAATAACGCTGTAATTGCGTTCAGCAGAATTTAATGTTCGAGAGTGGAAAGCAATAGGCTTATCATTTTGACTAAGAACTCCTGATAGGGCTATATTGCTACAATCAGTTGTCAATGTAAATTTTTTGGAAAAATCAGGATAAGCCAGAATAGGTGGGTTACAAAGAGCTTCTTTACAAAGTTTAAATGCATTGATATAATCTGGATTATTGATATTGATTTTTTCATCTTTACGTAAACATTTTGTGAA